ACTTACCGTGGACATTTGACTTTGGTGTTGCTGCTGCTTTCGGCTACTTCCCCCCTCAACATCTTCCTTCGTTTTACCGTCTATTCGCACGCATACGGGAATGGCGTAGCCTGGCAGGGCGGCGGAACCACCATTCGCTCCAGAGAGCAGGCCGTGCAGTTCATTCTGCAGGAATAATTTCTCGTCATGAAGTGTCATCAGCAGGAGGTTGGCGTTGATCTCTTCCTGGGAGGCCGACGATCCCAGGCGGGCTGCCTCTAACGGTGTGAGCGACAACTTCACCATGCCCGCACGCCCCTCGCGGCCGGGGATTTCGACGCCGTACACAACAGCGTCCCGCACCGCTGCTAGCCGTCCCACCACGCCGTTCATGATGTCCATCACTTCCGTCGTGGACACATTTTCGCCTTTCCAGCGGAATGTTTCGCCGACGCGATCCACAAACGAGACAAACCCCATCGCGTCAAACCTCACGAGGTCACCTGAAAGGAAATAGGCATCGTTTTTCCGAAGGATACCTCTAATCACATTCTTCCGCGTCTCCGCGTCACTGTGGTACCCGTCAAAGCGTCGGAGCCCAAACATATCAAAGCCCTGAATGATTTCACCGACAATCTCGCCCGTCTCGCCCACGCTGCAGTACGCACCCTTCCCTTTCGGAGAACGGCGCCACACCTCACCCCGCTCGAAATCGTACTTTAAAACACGGAACGGAAACAACGGATTAAACTGTGTGGAGAGCCAACGGATTGGCGCAGGAAAGAGCGGCAGGTGCCCCACGACGCCTGGAATGTCGAAGAGGTTAAGAAGAAATATATTTCCCTCCGTTGAGCTGTAAAACTCCACAACTTGCCCGATGCCGAGAAGTTTCTTACACTCTTCCCAGATGTCACGGCGCAAGCCATTACCGAAAGCAAAGGGGACCACCCATCGATCTTCCTTTTCTCTTTGTCTCTCAACGTCGTCTTGGATGCTGCCGCCGTCAAGGCCATTGAGGGGTTCGGTTGTCTCACCAGCGGTGGCGAGAGGACCATCCACTTTTTTCTTCTCATGGTGCAGCGCATAACGAAGTATTTCCCCAATGTACTGAAAAACAGTGACACGGTACTGTTGCAAGTCTTGTGTGAATCGAGAGGCGCTGAACTTACTGCGGATAATCATTCGGGCAGTCGGTGCCAGCCGCGGTTTCTTCCGCCGCTCACCTGCTTTTTTGCAAACACCTTGTGGCTCGAATTGATACGACGCAACAGAACCTGCTGCACGTTGCTGTACCTGTAAGGCTTGCAGAAGGTGCCCAATACAAAAGACGCACCCCACTGTGTGATACATCGGCAGACAGTTGTACACTGTGAGAACATTAAGTTCTTCGTCAAAGGATGGATAATCACATGAAAAAAACCGTTTAAACCTAAACCAACAACCACCTTCCTCGCGTCCAATGTTTTTTCTCTTGTGTTGCCTCAACAGAATCTCCTTCGTTTTCTCTCGCTGCGGAAGCACGGAGGAAAGGAATATGGCGGCAAAGAACCTCAAGTGACTGAATCGCGCCGCCTTGGGAAGTCCAGTCGTTCCAGAAGTGTAAATGTGCAACACCGGCATCACCGAACGAAACCGCAAAAGGGCCTTCTTTGTAACCTTCCGTATACGGGAGGCGTGTTGCTTCCACTGCTTCTCAGACGGTGCCGGTTCGCATACAGCCGGGGGAAAGGAAGAGATGCGCTCTGCCAGAATGGGGAACAAGCACGGCTGCGGCTCTAGTTGGTAGGGATGCACCACGAGATCAAACAAGTCCAAGGCCGTGGCATTGCTTTGCACACTGCATCGCTGCGCTTCATTGAAACGCCGCATCTCTTCGAGCATCCACGGCATCATTCCCTTCGTTGCCACCGGGGCACCTGGTGATGTTCCTCGCCAGAGAAACATCCTCTTGACACACGATGGAAGCACCACCGTCCTCCCTTTCTCTTTCGGTTGCCCTGTTATTTCCTGCGGTTCTCTCTCTACAGACTGGACCTCTTCATCGGGAAAAAGGAGCGGCACATACTTCTCATCCAGTACCAGAATCTCCGGCGCGGCACACTCCAGGGCGTGAAACAACATCCGATGGTTCGCGAGATTTGTGTTAATGAGGGCTGTGCTGCAATGATGATAAACCGTACTTCTCTTTGCCTCGTTACTCCTGTTGTTCTCCTCGTCCTCGTTTTCACTCCGTGGCCGCCTCCCTTCGTTATAGAGGGCATCCAGAAAGGTCATCCAAACACTCGCCTCAGATACAGCCATCCAGATGAGGTTAAATTCGGGAGAGTTGTCAAGCATTAGGGCAAGTGCATGAGGCCTCAGTTCCAAATGGGTACTATGAGAGGTCCTGGTGCACTTGGAGGGAGCAGGAGCAGCAGCATGTGTCAACCAGTACCACTCCCACGCCAAAGCCTCACTTAACAAATCCGTTAACCGCGTTGCCTCATCATACGTCACTTTTAATGGGGCACCACAAAGCTTCATTTTTGGGACGGCCGCATCTGTTGTCGCCATCTCAAACACCACCTGATGTTCCCGCTGCGCACAAGCGACAAATTGTGACTGCCTCCTAAATGCCTTGAGAAGTGTCATGCTTACGGACTGCCCATGTGTGATCTCTGCCATAGCGGCAACATCATGAAGTAAAGGAACGATGTGCTCGTTAATACCATCCGGAACAATAGAGTTCTCCTTCTTCTTCCAGCAATTGCAGCACGGCACAATCAATTTCCATGCATCCTTACAAATTAACTTTGCGTTCCGCATAGAGTTTCTTGCCTGCACGGCACCCAAAGAGCATCCCAGTTTTATATACTCAGCCGTCGTGATGTATGCGTAATGCGACATGATAACCCAATTCCATCTTCCTACCGTATTGACGGTGGTCGCCATCTCTTCCCTCCTGCAGTTTACCTAAGATATATATATATATATATATATATATCTTGGTGTTCTTCTTTTTATTTTTTGTTAATTCGATTTGGGCTCCTATTTTTTTCTCTTATTCTTTTATTTTATTATTTTTTTCTTTCTTTACCCGGCACCAGATCAATCCTAGATTCGACCACACATTACTAAAGGAAGAAACATAAAACAACAACAACAACAAACAAGAAAATACCCACAAATCACCCATTAGAATTTACATTGTACGCAAGAAGCCACATGCACGCATGTATAAACGTCACAAGTGTGTTATTTAGATGGGAAGATTCATTAGAGTAGTAACTAAAACAACAACAAAAACAACAACAACGCAGAATAATCTCCGTGGGCATTTTTGTCTTGTCATTACTTCTTTTCTTATACTTTGATCTCACAAAATACGTGTTTTATTTTCCTTTTTGATTGGTGTTACTTCCATTTTCTTTTTTCTTTTTTCTCTCTCTCTTTCCCTTTGCCTTCTCTTGTTGTCCCTGCAGGAAACCGGCAGTTGGTGGCCAGAGCACACACACACACACACACACAGAGATGTTGAGGGAAAGCATGTCAATACAAAAGGAAAATGAACCAAAGAAAAGGAGGAAAAACAAAACCAAAAAAAAAAAAAAAATCGATGCAGACCATCCAGCCATATATATATTCATTTGTTTGCTTTGCCCCCTTTTCCACGTGCGACCACACGCATCTCTCTTCGTGTATACAACTCTCTCTCTCTCTCTGTGTGTGTGTGTGTTTTTTTTTTTTTTTTTAATTTTTATTTTTTTTTCCTTGATCGGTTTCTCAGTTTCCCTTCTCTGTGTGGCGGCATTCTTCAATGACTACTGAAAGGGCTGAAAGCCGCCTGCAGCGGGTGTGTAAACTCCAGCAGCGCCACGGCCCCGTCCCCCGCGCCCACCACCACCACCACCTCCTCTGTTACTACGGTGCATCATTGCGCCGCCGGCCATCATTCCCATAAGGGCCATCATGGCCTGGTATGGATCTGCTGCTGCTGCTACACCACCACCGCGTCCTCCTCTGCCGCCGCGTGCCCTATCTGGGCGAAAGGCAGAGCGCTTTTTCGTCACCTACAGAGGACCACACACATGCATACGCGTACAAAGAAAAGAAAGAAGAAGAAGCAAAAGAGTCTCAGTTTCAGCCAATGTGCAACAGAAAGGGAAAAAAAGTTTATGTGAGAGAGGAGGAAACGAAGGAGGCAAAACAGTGATTGTATATGCGTGCGTGTGTGTTTGTCTTTACCTGAAAGAGTGTAAAAGGCGGCTCTTGACCGCGTTTGTGCCATGATAATATCTAACAGTTATTTTTTTCTATGTGTGCTTCTTTTTTTTTTTTTTTTTTTTTGTAGATGAGGACCTATATAAAATTCATTCATGTCTTTTTTCATTTTTGTTGTTGATTTTTTTTTTTTCCATTTTTTATTTGTATGTGTGGCTGCGCCCCATCGTTGTTTTAATGTCCTTTGTTTCCTTTTTTTTTTTTTTA